GGCAGTCTTCAAGCAGTGTCTGGACAAACTCTTAGTCAGGGATACTTTAAGGTGATCCTGCATTGAGCAGGGGGTTGGACTAGATGGCCTGTATGGCCCCTTCCAACTCTGTGATTCTAAGCCAGAGCTGGCTCTGTAACAGCCTTGATGTGAATGACTGTACTGATGGTTCACATTATGATTAAACATTTCAGCTCAGTTGAAAGGGAGGGAAACCCTAACAAATGCATCCTATGGAATTTATTTTGTTAGTGGAAGTGCATCTACTGCACACCAACTGCACTCTGTGCAAACAGAAACCTAGCATACGTCTTAAATTCTAGGAAGAGAAGGGATTGAAGGCGATGGGAAGGTTCAAGCAGCTGTATTACACCAGTCATGATAATATTTACTAGTCTGATGCCCTTATGTTCATGTGACTGCCTAGAAGGGACACAACTATACTTACTACATGCCATCTTTGCACTGATTTGTGCTGTTTTCCAACAAACACTAGCCTGGCCCTCTTTAGAGATGTTACTAGTTGTAATCAAATGGAAATAAACTTATTTTAAAGTCTATTTTTGATGTGTGCTTACTGGTGAGAATGGGCAGTCATTGTTCATGAGAAATTGGCAGTTAAACAATTCCTCAAGGATTAGAACACAACTATATATCTGCATTTTACTACTGCCAAATCACCTTGCTACAATAATTTCTCATGCTGCGTCTTGAGAGTTTGACATTCTGAAAGCACAAGACCTGCACTTTGGAAAGCAAGGTTGCACCCCATTCACACATGGCAAAGACCTGCCAGCTTTTAAACTCAAACATGAAAACTATTGATCTTCTGATCAATATATGCAAAGGGCTCCCTGTAGATACCACAGTGATAGTATTTTAGAGAATTTAGCCATTCAAAAATGACTGGAGGGCCTTCCCACAGCTTAGCGGGATTATTAGCAAAGAAACTGAAAATGAAATTACCAGTATCATAACACCTTTGTATAGATTTAGGTATGTAGTTGAGAAAGTGGACAGTGAGAACTTTTTATTCCTCTCCCATACTACCACAATAGATTCAGAACATAAGGAAGGATCTCTTTGGACAACATGTAATTAAATTTTGGAATTCATTGCCAGTGGATACAATCATAGCCACAAACAGAAATGGCTTTAGATTCATGGAGGATAGATCCACAGCTATTGGCCGTGGTGACTTAACTGGAACCTCAATGTTTAGAGGCAGTATGCCTCTAAACACCAGTGCTAGGAGGTCAGCATGAGGGGAAGCTTTGGTCTCAATGACCTGTCAGTTCAAAGTTTAATAGCCCATAGGCCATGCACCATTAAAAAAAAAAAAAAAAGCCCTCTCATGACCTGTCAGTTGGCCCTCCACAGCAACCGGCTGGCCACCATGTGATACGGGATACTGGACTATATATACCACCAGCACGATCCATCATGGTGTGTTTGTGTTCTTAAGTTACCCAAATTTGCAACATTTGATGAAATGTTTTTTTGATCTGAAGAGTAAAATTCTGATACAGTTCTTGTTGGCTAAACAAGTGGTGATCACAGATTACAAGCAGCATCTCCCAGGAGTCAATGAAGTAACACTACTTGGAATTTTAATCCTAGTTTTGACAGGCTAACAACCTCCTCTCATCATAGATTGACTGGCTCATACTTTGGCAGCATGCCTATCTACTTGAGCAACCAAAACATTCTGCAGCCACCTCTCATTTATTCTCAGGTTATGAAGATTGATACACCAAGCCTGTTTCCAACAGTGTGGACATATTTTATGACCCACATTCTTGAACAGCATGAAGCTGAAGTATTTTGGCTATTTAGCTTACTTTAACATTGACTCAAGGTGACTTCCACTTGACCCGAGCAGATGTTTCTCTTGTGCTCATTCTTCAAATCAGATTTCTTGGATCTCATTTGTCTTTCAGCACCTCTATGGATGTCTTATTAAAACTAGAATAAGCACCTCCATCATGTTCAGGGTGTATGAGCCAAAAATGAGAGGAGTTTACCTATTACAGATTGGATTTTTCATTGAAGTTGAGTGGATGCCATAATGTGAGTTTGCCAGCCATAGATTGTGCAATCTTCATGTGCACGGTTCATGTGAAAGCTGGAGCTGGAACTAAAAACTTATGGTGGAATTTTCAAAAGTGCTTAATTCTGGCCTAGATCTGTTCCTAGTTAAGATTTAAACAAATACGGCTCTTGAAAACTGCCATTTACTTTCTCAGATATTCTGTCAGGGACCTCAGCACAAACTCACTAATCACAGAGCTCTAACTACAATTCTTGTTGATATCATTCAATACACTGTTGTAGATTTGCATACCCTTTGCATACATTTAACTTTGCTTCATACTACTGTAGTTCCTCAGCAAATGTGGCACAATATGTCAAGTGTTCCCTCTAAACTGAGATAGTGTGAGCTAGCTCAGTTTTTTAGCCTCCAGCTTACAGATTTTTGTCTTAGCTCAGGAAAGATGGCTCCAGAGTAGAGATGTTAAGGCCCGGGAAAAAACCGGAAACATTCGGGAAAAAACCGTTTTTTCCCCAAAGCCTTTTTTGTTTTTTTCCAAAAAATTGGAAAAATTGAAAAAAGAAAAAAAATTGATTATGGAACATTTTATTTTAACATGATGAATAAAATATTTTAGGACAAGGTGTTCAAATATTTTCCAACCTAATTTCTGTGCACTGAGGACAAGCTAGTCCTAGGTTACAAACTGAACTCTCCAATGCAAGAACAAGATGCATTTCTTCCTTTAGGAGGTGCTATTGTCAGAATAAAAATGTTTCAGTTTTGTTTTTGGATGCGGGTGGGTATTCTGTTGTAATAATTGTTTGGATACACTATATTTTTAATATGCTAGTTGTGATAATTTCATGCCAAGTAGAAATGTCCATAGTCATATTTTATGTTCCTAAAGTAACAGAATGATTTCCAATCTAGAAAAGACAAAAGAAATGCTAATATAGCATTTTTTTCAATTTTTTCAAAAGCTTCAAAATTTCCAGAAATTTTACATCTCTACTCTAGAGCAAACTAATTTATGTAGTAGCCAAATCGCTCGCTCACTTTAATGCCAGTAGCTCACAAAGTAGAATTTTCGCTCATAAGAGTGCACAGCTAAGGAGCATTGGTCACAATGAGAATGTTTTTTTAAGTCTTTTTTAAGTCTCAGTGACAGAATATATGAAGGAATCAAGATTCTTCTCATGCACTTTAAGATCCCAACATCTAAGGTTTTTGGAATTTCAGGCCTTGTTCTCTGTGTTATTATTGTACACTGTATGTGGCTTTGAACATGGCATTTCACTCATATCACTGCACAAGTTTGAGTTAGAAACAGACATGGCGTAGTGGCTTCAGTGTTGAATTAAGATTCATGGAACTTGGGGTCAATCCCTAAAAGGGACCGCCTACTCCCTTATGAGCCTACCTGACCATTGCAGTCATATTCCGAGGCACGTTTGGATGTCCCTGCCTTCTGAGATTAGGTGGGTGGCAACCTGGAGAGGGCCTTCTTGACCATGGCACCCAAACTCTGGAACTCTCCTCCCAGGAAGACTCATCTGTCCCCTTCTATTACCCTCTTCCACCAGTAGGTGAAGACTTTGTTTCATTTGGTGTTCCCTTCGTGTTTAACCCAATGCTGTTATTGTTGTTTGTGTTTTTGCATATGTATTTTAGATCTGGATTAAATTATTCCAACGATGCATTCTTGTTGGTTTTAATGATTTCTAAGATGTGATTTCATTATGTATGTTTTGTTAGCTGTCTTGGTGACTCTTACAAAGGCAGAAAGGCAGGGTATAAATTTTGTAAAATATACAGAAAAATAAGTAATTGAACCATGAAGCTCACAGGGTGACTTTGGGCCAGTCACTCTCTCTCACTCTAACTTACCTCAGGGGAATTGAGTGTAAAACAGAGTAAGCAAAAACCATGTATTCTTTTCTGAGCTCCCTGAAGGAACAGTAGCATTACAGATGTGATGTGCAGATGCAAAACCCAACATCAACACATCGAGTGTCTCCAACTGACATTATGCTGCTTTACTTTACAAATGGAAAATGACACATGGTATTATATTTTAACCCCAGCACCTTGGCAACAGGACTGATAAGTGCCATGATGTCCTCATGCCTACCTTAGTCCCTGTCTCCTCAGTCAACAGGTGATATGCAAAATGAACATGCTTGTATCTTCCACTTGGTTCATGACTGTTTCCCCACTCCCCACACCCAAATATTTTGTTTCTTCAGAACTGCCTGTGCTGGAATATTATATCCATAGAATAGATTTGGGATAAAGGTTGATATAGGAGGGCAAGAAAATAAAACCATGCATGCATGGCTGGGGGAGAAGGGGGAATAAAAGTGTATCAGATGAGGAGAGAACGGGACACAAAGGTTGCCTTGCTTCTTTGGCATGTACAAAGCAGTACTGTATGGATGGCTTTTGGGGAGCATTTCATATCTAGTGATATCAGCAACCTGTCTATGCAGTGCAAAAATACAGTTCCTATCAGTGACAAGTTATGCCACTCTCTGAGTGTGACTATCCTAGAGGAAGACAAATCCCTTAGATATGTTAAAGAAGATTTGCAGCTGTATGAATCAGTAATCACAAACCTAACTGCATAGGCATTACCAAATCAGCATATGAGCAGGATAACTCTGC